CATGACTTTACGGCTTTTATGGTGTGCTTTTTTTCTCCAAACCTGTTGGTGTTACCTTTTATTTAGAGTAAACAAAGCGGGCTGAAAGATGGATCATGATGTATGGATAACGCATGATCGCTACAATACTACATATGCTTTGTGCTATGGAGAGGAGGAACTTCCATGGAACACTCCCCCACACCCCATACCACAATATATCAGTAGCACATGGAAAAACGAAAAGGCAACAAGATGTTATGAGCAATGGTCGTTAGCTTGATGTATCGTTGTCTTAGAAAAGGATGGTGGAGGAGTCCAGGGGTCATCGATTTGTTCCGCTAACCCAATGTGTTTGTTGACAGGCAATAAAGGATCATGATTGCTAGGATTTTAAACTGTTATCACAAATCAAATGGTTTGACCATATAACGAAATTGGCATCAGACAGGGCACCAGGGAGAGCAGTGTTATATAGATTCAAAACTAATAGAGCCAGAGTTCGACCAATAAGAATGTGGACCGCAGAAATATCAGAGACACTGAAAAGTATTTTATACAAAGCGAACAGAAAGGCACGTTGCAGAGATCTCTTCCTGCCTTGACGCCGCGAGGCATCCAACATTACAGACCAAATTGGCAGGATAATGTAGATCCCAGTAATTTAAAAATGTTGTGTCGATTGGCAGGATAGTATAGATTATACTAACTTACTTATGTGATTGAAAAAAAAAAAGTTTGGATCCTATGAATTTTTTTATTTCCTATAAAATGGCACGATAAAATAAATCCCGATAGCTTATTTAATTTTTTTTTTTAATATAAATTAACAAGATAGAATAGATCATAGTAACGTATTTATTTCCCGTAAATTGGCAGGATAAAAAAGATCATCATCATCATCAGGTGCCTTGCCGACTGGCGTGGGCGATCATGCCTCTCCATAATCTGCGATCTCCTGCAGCATGTATCAGTTCGTGTGCCGACACACCTCCATGCCATGCAACAAGACTGTCACGCATCTTCTCTCGTTGTCTTTCTCTATTCCTCCTTCCACAGATCTTTCCAGTGGTCACATGTTATATTTTCCCTCTTCTCATAACATGGCCGAAAAATGAGGACTGTCTCCTTCTGATGTCTGTGATAAGTTGTCTTCGGGCTCCCGCCTCTTTCAAAACCTCTTGGTTGCTCTTTTTGGCTGTCCAAGGTATTCTAAGCATTAATGGATGACGTTCGGGTATCACCCGTAGAACATGATGATCCCTACCGGACGAGGTGATTCCACTGGAATCCCCATTTACGTCGTTATCTGAATTCATATTATTTTGAGGCATGATTTACTGGGGATAGTACAGCGGTGGTTTCCCTTGCCTTCCGCCGGTTTGTAAATGGTTTGACTCCAATAACCTTTGTCTAAAGAGACTAACCCTGCAAGGTCCCAAAAAAAAACTCTATAATATTATAAAAAAAAAAAAATCAAAAAATCTCCCCTATAAACAAAAAATAAAAATACTCCTAAAAAAAATATCTAAAAAAAAAAAAAAAAACAAAACCCTCCTAACTTAAAAAAATCCTAAAAAATAAAATAAAAATACCTCCCTAAAAAAAAAAAAAAATCTAACTTCCCACATGGGGGGGGGGGGGGGATGTTATGGCGCCTCTTATCCGCCGATGGCCATGTCGTAGAGTTTTGAGGTATTTTATAGAGTTAGCTGTCCCACCAACTAACTCGCCTCCTCTCAATGACCATCACCTGTTTTGGTCCACGGCCACTTATTCAATATATTCGTGGCTAACCTCTATATCTAGAGGCTTTTCCACCATCCGCCACCTGGTGGACGCGCCTAGTAGTAGGACAGGCTCCTACCCCAGGTAGGATAATATAGATAATATATACATCACAGGAACTAAATCATTTTATAATCATTGGCAGGATAATATAGATCCCAGGAACAAAGCGATTCTGACCTATATCTCCTATATTGGAGGAAGCCTGTCCATACTTGCTTGTGTTACTACGGTTACTGTGTTCCACTATTTCAGGTAAATATTTTCCATTGTTTATATTATTACTATTATTACACTGTTGCGATTGCAACCACCACCCCAAGCAACTCATCCTCTATCTTCACAACAGTTACCAGTTTAATTACAATTGTGAAAGGAAAATGCCTCCTATAATTCTGCCTTTCATTTCCCCCAAAACTGCACCTTAGCCAGTTCCCGCGAAGCCTCATATTCCATTGTTCATCGTTATTTGGAGATTCGGTTCTCGTTATGCCTAGTGACACATGAGGCTTCAGAGAGGACTTTCCATGCTTTCCTGTCCTGTGCAATCTTCAGTGCAGTTTTCCATGTCAAAGATGCCACACTCAGGTCACTTTCCATCGTTCGTCTCCATGTTGTTTTTGGGCGTCCCTGTTTTCTCCTTCCCTCTGGTGTCCATGTGAGAGCTGCTTTGGCAGGTATATCAGAAGTCATTCTCATAACGTGGCCAAACCATTTCCATCTTCTCTTGGTAATCATACTGTCTAAAGTTTCTTGGTTTGTGACTTGAAGTAGTTTAGTGTTTGACATTGTATCTGGCCTGAACATTTTGATAATTCTACGTAGACATGTGTGGTGGAAGGAGGACAGCTTGTGTGCATCCTTTTTGAAGATTGCAGTTAGTTTTCTAAGCGCTCTGCTTGCGCGTCTCTTTGCAACCCTCCTAAGTAGTCTTTTACGAAGTGCGTGGTGGGTTACTGACTATACTCTTGTATTTCAGTTCCAAAGGTCTTAGGGTAGAAGCGCCTTTTTATGAAAACAAAATAACTTGGTCGACCCAGACTCAAATGAGTATCTGGAAATGTCATAGGAAACAGAAGCGGATGGGAAGATGTAGATATCACCCACTGAGTGCTAACTGGTCTATACACTATATGAATCTAAGACCATATATCTTTCGTGCCTATTTGGGTGAAAGGTATTTATTTATTTACTCGCAAAAAGGTAGATGACCAACTCTCCTTAGTAGACTTTTTCGCCATGTCTGCGAGGTTCTTCTCTTAGCCAATGCCATGTATTGTTAGCTGTCATGCCTATCCACGTGCTGTGTTTTCAGTCATGTCTGACAGATGATCCTCCGTGCCGTAATGTCTAACTGTCCAGCGTCTTCTCTCCTGGTCTACTCAATCTTCTCTTTCCATTTATAACTAGAGTAGCTGGCGTACATTTGACCCCCCCCCCCCTCTTCCCCCTTTCCTCTCCAGGCGTGCTAGTGTGTTCGGAAATGAATATACAGATGGATTGGCTGGTTCTGCACTGCTTAGTTGTGGGGATGGGGGGTAAATAGATGCATGCAAGCTAGATCCTCTAAAGGCTCTAAAGAGAACGGTGCAGAGAGAAGTGCCGAGAGAATCTGAACGATGCTCAACAAGCACGGGAGTGGCGAGACGGACATACATTGAGATTGTTACTTCTATGATAGGAACTGGAGTCTACGACTGCGGCTGAAGATGGAGACAAAGATCCTGTGGGAATCTTACGATCAAACTTTCCCGCCGTCGCGATGTACTCTATTTTCCCCCTTTTCATCATGTGACCAACGAATGTAACAGTCCCCCTCTGATGGGGGTAATCAGTTTTCTTCGCGGTTAATTGCTGGGCAGCTTACAGTACTACCAATATCCTCTCCCCCCGCCAAACCATACACACTCTGAACTCACGATGTAAGAGTTACTTACATTCCCTCTTGTTTTATATATTTAGGATTGAGAGTGATTGGATTCGTTTCCACCAGCAACTTGGCCTATCCATCATATTTCTACAGATCTTGTTTATCTGTGTGGGTAAAATGGGGAAGGAGCTTCTCTTCTCCCTCCACCCCCATCCAACCCCTGGCAATCATACACACTCTCAACTCACGATGTAAGAGTTACTTACATTGCCTCTTGTTTTATATTTAGGATTGACAGTGACAGGATTCGTATCCACCAGCAACTGGGCCTGTCCATCATATTTGTACAGATCCTGTTCATCTGTGTAGGCAAAATGGGAAAGGAGTTTGGGACACCGTTGGTAAGTCAATAAGAGGGATCACATCGGAACCATGAGCTGTCATCGTCTGCCTGGTTGATTGGATTGCTGTGTGGGAGTTTGGTGTCGGTTGACTAGTTGGTTAGTTGATTACATGATTTAATACTGCAGGACGGTTGGTTGTTTGGGTTGTTGGTTAATTGGGGATTGATTGAGAATTAGTTTGGTGGCTAGCTAGTCGGTTGGCTGGCTAGTCGGCTGGCTGGTTGTATGGGTGATTGGCAGATCAAATGGATGATTGATTGGAAGGTTGATCGGAAGGTTGGTTGGACAGACTTACAGTTTTGTATTTCTCTTCTTAAGCTTATTATTGATGATTATTTCACCTAATATTATTCCTTTTATTCTACTTACTCCCTCTTAACATAGTTTCAGTCGTCTTCCTAATATTAATCCATTCAGTAGTACTTAGTTAATATTAGAGTCTAAAAAGGTTTGACATTGTTTTATTTCTTTTGACAGGTCTGAAAGTATGATAATAATTTATATTACCAAACGATTTCTTGTCTGCACTTCTACATACATATGTGTATAATTCTACATTATGGAGAGACGTTTTACCCAATAAGAAATTGGTTATCTTGTTCTTGATATGTTATCGTTTTTTTTTAAATTTCCAATTGTATTTTTTAGAGATAAGGCTACCAACTTGGCTATAGTTAAAAAAAAATAAAAATGTTTGCACACATAAAAATATTTAAAGCATGACTTATTCTGGTACACGTTCATTAAGATCCTCGTCGGAGCTTTGACGTTCGTTCCTTGTGATCTGTAAGGAAAAAAACTAGGACTTATGAAGTTAACTGTGTGCAGTTACGTGAGAACTTGTACGAGCCGCATTTAAGAAAACCATAGGAGATAAAGCGTTTTCATCGCTCATGCATTATTATTTTCAGATAGGGTGTCGGATTCTGGCAGCATTGCTTCACTATTGTTTAACGGCCATGTTTTGTTGGATGTTGGTGGAAGGCATTCATCTCTACGTAGTCCTGGTTCGAGTCTTCAAAGGAGGGTTTCATTTTCGGAAATACCTTTTAGTTGGTTGGGGTAAGGTTATTCAGTTTATCTCACATTACATTCCCTATATGAATTTATTGTTATGACTTTACATGTCTGAGAAAACTACACAACCCCACCCTCATAAAAACGGTCAGTTACATTCTATCGGCACGGTGCCCCTGTGGGGTGGGAGTGGGGGTATCTCCCTGGCGATGTGGTCAAGCCGTTTGCTTCTCGCTCTGAAGATTGTGGGTTCGTTTCGCAGTTGCTTCATTCGGTTCACGAGTGTACATTGTATGGAGACCCATGAGAATCGTCGCTCGAGCTACCGTGTTCGTGCCTTGTGCGACGCTCTCGGCAGGCGGCTAGCTTTTCTGCGAAAAGAGACTGGACCATTTAAGAAGAAACTGCACAGGGGAGAGTGTACAGCAGGAGTCTACCAATCGTCAGTAGAAGTAATCTCTCGTCGACAAATGTTTCGGCCAACGAGCTCCTAGAAATTGTCAGAGAGTGGGCCCACCTGAGTTCCTGAGGCTCAGGGTTGATTTTCTCCTGCTGCACGTATTACCGGATGTTATCGGACAGGGACAAGACGAATTGGTGACTTTGCGAAAGGTACTGTGAGATACGAAGTCGTTGCGGTAGCATAATTAGAGCAGTCTGCTTACCTGGACGACCAAGTGGCAAGCTTACGTTTGGTTTACCGGACACATGTTGAACTTTATTGGTAGGTGGCAGAGAGACACTAGCAGACAATTCGGACACGATGGACTATCAGGGATAAGACATTCTTTTCCACTAGACACCTGGACCCGCTCACCGAGGCCCGTCCCCCACGACGTTCAGTTGTGTCCAGAGACAGCTCGAGGCTCTCTCAGCGTTAATTCCCTCGTAAGGCTAGTTGTTTAATCACATTGTACATTGAAGTGGAAACGAGACCTCTTGCTCCTACCTCAACGGCGAAGATTCTAACTGTGTATGCTTCGTCTTTCCTCAGACCAGCCGCTAAGTCACTGTATTTATCGAGCTTTCGTCCATTCGCAACTTATACGGCACGGTCAGCTCAGTCAGGATGAGCTGACGTTTCTCCGCAGAGTGTAGGACTATGTCGGGTCGTAGGCCAGTCTTCTAGATTAACTCAGGGTACTTTTCATGACCATATAGAATAAAACCCAATGCAATGAAGTCGATCCTCTTGACTTTAGCCTCGACTTCAACGTTTTTATAATATCACACTGGCCACATTTACATGCCTTAATTGTTACCTGGATGTGGTTTCGGAGACGCGTGCTGCGAATACCGTGAACATAGTGACTAACAACGACTGCCTGTAGAAAAAAGAAAATTGTAAAGGATCGAATGTTATTTAACACTTTCTATAAGACCATCGGTACATATTACGAACTTGCCCGCATCTCACTGGTTGTGAGTTGTCGGGCTGTGGCCGTTACCACGGGCTGCTCTTTATTCTAGGGGTGGTCGCATGTGTATTTCTTCCATAAACACCGTGCGAAAAACCGGCTGCCGCTCGTTCAAGGCCCGAACGTATTAGGCCGCCGTTTTTGTTGTTTTCTGCTCTCTGTGAGCTACGTCTCTGGTGCAACCGTCACTGGTTTGAGAAGTGGTGACATTTAAGGGCGACCTCTGAAAACGGCCGTTGAATTGCGGGAGGGGTGGATCCTCAAGAGAAATTCATCTTGAAGTTCAAGTCACCATGTACTGTCAGTGATAACGATAAAGGGCCAAACCATAACGCTGTAACATACAGTGCCGGCCAGCCACTCAGAACGTGGAAAATAGAACGTGCTGGCATAGCGTGAAATATAGACTGCTTACAGCTTTGAAAATCACACAACGGGACACCCCTAGAACATAGAAAAGCCAGTTGGAACGGCCAGGGCATGAAAGGCAGCCGTAACGAAATCTCGCGCCCGGCGATATGCAGGCAAGTTCGTGATGTGTACCATTCTATCTATAGCAGAAAATCTGGGTGGAAGGCGAGAGGAAGACTACGGAAGAGATGGGCAAAAGGTGTAGCTGAATACTGAATTAACATGAACAAATTCCTCGCTCAGGTTACTTGAAAAGCGCAAGATAAATACACACACAAAATATAGCTCCAACCCAATAACAGTGTAACGAGGGAAAAAAAAAAAAAACAATAATGTTGTATGTGAATGATTCAGCTAAGGCCAAGCAACCGCCGTCACATAACTTGGGCCATTCCCACAAACACTCTGTCACCATCTTTAGCAGTCAATACAGAGTTTCAGTACTATCGTGCAAGCGATAGACTGAGAACACATTAGTCTTGCCTTTTCTCTGAGCATTGAATGTGTAACCAATATTCTCGTCCCTTCCAGTGGCATCAATTACTAAACTGAAAAGTTATCGAAACAAATCAAAAGTAGAACCAGTTAGCTTCACAATATCACAAATACAAATGACAAGTAAATGTTTCAGCTAAAGCGCCTTCGTCAGCACATTACATAAATCTACAATACCAAAACAACGTATAACAATACACAAAATCACTTAACTGACGTACCTCCGATAGAAATCACATTTCTGTCAGGCCAGTAATTAACTAAGTCAATCCAGCAAAAGCTGTGTACAAGTACATTTTTGGGAAGTAAAGGCGACTGGCAGGACATTTACCTCTTACTGGCGTAAGCATATTCGTTTCAGCTCTATGCTACCAGTGCCAGACGTAGTCACTCACAACAAACCAGAAAAAAAAACATTCAGTAACCATGGAATTGAGATGTCTGAGAAGGACTAGGAGGGACCGTAAGAGATAAAATCAGAAATGAGGTTATACGAGAACAAGTCGGCACAGAACAAATTCTAAATACAAAGAAAGACAGCAAATCAAATGGTTTGCACACTTTAAAAGAATGCCCTATGACGCCATAACATATAAGGTATATAAAACAAAAGAAAAACACAAAGCACGAGGTGGACCAAGAACAAGATTGAAAGATAACGTCAGAGACTCTACAACAGCATAATGTGTCTATGATCATGCGGCTAGAAAACCAAGAAAAGAACCTGATATCTCCTTTGACACCCGAAGCTTTTAAACTAAAAATGAAGACGAATAAGTCTGACCTTGGTTTGCGAGGATATGCTGCCAACTTTATAAAATATCTTGCTGTTTGGTGCACAGCTTTGTTCTGTTAATTTTTATTGTTTTCCAGGCACACCACTTATTGTAGTTGGAATATCTCTAGGAGCGTTCCACGATAAATACGGTGTCGGAAATGTGTAAGTTCAACATACGATATTTATCCTTATCTATATTTAAACAATAATTACACATGCAGCGCATCCTATACATATGATCATATTCTGGCACGGGCTCCGTAGCACCGGCGAGGATCCTGAAATATTTTAAGTAGATTTTTAACTCCAAATTTTTCCCGACCAGAGCCGATCGGTTACTCTTTTCGATTTCCAACTGCCAAGATATTTTTTACGTTCGTAACAACACACACGGGCGTCTGATTTCACTACCCAGCGACCAGGAAAAATTACTAGAAATCTACTTAAACAGAAAATATCCCAGCCTTCACCGGGGCCCTAACCCGGGACCTCTAGCACTCGGGGCGGACACTATACCTCGCGACCACGCAGCCCCTTCCTCGCTACACATGTCATCATCTGATAAAGTAACAGAATGAGGATACCACATTGGACAGATATTCTGTTCCCTAAATGTAACATTAAATACACAGTTCATGACGAAATTTAGAGTTTGTGACGCTTTAAATATATAGGAAAAAGCAGTCAAATACAAGGGCTATCCTTTTTCTTTTTTCATTTGAAGATCATTCTCATTGGAAATAAATATGAGTCAATTTTTACTATTTCGACCACATCTAAAGACCTAACACACTAACTCATGTTGGAGGGAAACGGGTTCTTAATTTCGTATTCTCCCTAAACACAGGGAGTCCTGAAGTTCCCCTTGTAGAGGTGTTAGGGTTAGGGCTAGTCAGTGTTCGTTTCAAACCGTAGCGGCGTCTGTGGCTTAGGCGTTTCCAGTCCGACTCGTAATTCCAACGTACCGCGATCGAAACCCACTGCTGGCTGCGTGGATTTTTATCGTGGTATGGGGCGCAACAGGTCGACCCAGCCTAAAATGGGTACCAGGATGGCTGTCCTGGGGAAGCAAAGACGGCCGGCGTAATGCTGACCACATTACCCACCTAGTGTCAATGGTCTGAAAAAAAAACGGGCGCTCTTCCCTTATACCCGATGCGCCTTAAGGCGTGAACAGGGATCTTTACTTTTACTTTACTTACAGGGTACCCCTTGTTTGGGGTGAATTAAAAAAGAAGAACCAGGAAATATTTAATGCCACATTAGCAAGAGGTAGATAACGATACGAATGAGAAGGCAACATGAAAAGATAAACGAACAGCAGTCTGAAAGAGAGTAAAACCAAGACATTAGACGAATGTTTTAGCGATCCGTTGCAGCCAGCCTTCAGTGTAGCGACTGTACCTGATTGATTAACTGACCGCCTGACTGGCTGACGTCTTTAAAAAACAATTATTAGAATAAAATATTGAATTTAGTGTTTACCTGAAGCAGCCTAACAGTAACACAAAATGTTGTGTTTAGTCGACTTAAAAATGAATCTAAAAATAACATAAAATGTTGCGTATGTTCTGTTTAAACATGCGTATTATATTACAAGATTAAACAGCATTAAAAGTCTATGGATAAGCACCAGCAAGAAGATTAAAATTAGAATTTTGCGAGCGTGCATCTTCCCTGTGGCAACATACGGATGTGAGTCGTGGACTATCTCCTAGTCCTTAGGAAAGAGAATAGGGGCTTTTTAGCTGAAATGTTATAGAAATATTTTCAGAATATCTTGGACAAAGAAGGGGAGAAACACTGACATCTTGAAAGATCTGAACATCAAGGAAAATTGGCTAGTAAACAGCATCCTGTTTTGGAAGCTGAAATATTTTGGTCATATCAAGCGACACGACGGATTGGAAAAAATAATAGCAGAAGGCATGGCACCAGGAAGGAGGGGCAGAGGCCGACCAACACGAAGATGGAGATAGGATATAAATGACTACTTGAGTATAAAAGCACACGAGGCGGGAGAACTGGCTAGAGATCGAGTTTCTTTCAGGCAGACCATGCTGAGAGCGACGTTCTGCAAAGGACCTGCTACATGATGATAATGATTATATTAACATAAGTACTGTGTATACCATGTTTATCTTCTTCTTCTTCGCGTTCACCAGCTGTACACTCTGGCGGAAAGTTCTGAATGCTCGCCCACTACTGAACTGCAGTCCTGCTCCAGAACCTGAGTGTTGCATGTGCATCAGTTTTTCAGATCTCATTCTCTTGAATACAGACTGTTGGTTCCTTGCCTCTCCGGCAGATGCACTCCGACTTCAAAGGAAGCTCCCCAATTAGTGGACTCTTACGACATGCTTTTGGGGAGGCAGTGGGTCTATTCTTGTTTTCCCCTACAATGGGGCCCCGGAACCCACACGGGGGATATCATGTTTATGAATGGTTATTATACTAACATGAAATACTGTTTATATCATGTTTATGAATGGTTATTATACTAACATGAAATACCTATCTGCCTTTTAAATGAAGGTGTTGGCTGAGCCATGAGGTTTTGCTGGTCGGTTTTGTCCCTGCTGTTGCTGTCGTCATTATGGTGTGTATAATAACATTTAGTTTTGTTTCTCTTTTACATTTATAAACGAAACAAATAATGAGCAAGTTTTTTTTTCTCAACGGTCACAAATTGTAAGTAAAAACAACAACAACAACAAAGTGATGGACCCTTTACCACGCCTTCGGGCGTACTGGGCATAGAAGGCTATACCTATATTTTATAGACCAGTGGGCACTTGGTGAGTAATGTGGTTAACATCACGCCAGCCGCCTTTACTTCCCATGACTGCACCTGGTACTTACTCAAAGCTGGGTCGACCTGGGAGTCAAGGTTATTTTTGCAGAAAGCCCGGTTCAGTCAGGAACCGAACCCACATTTGTCCGATCCGCAGGTGAGCATCTACCCGCTACACCACGGCGACTCCGGGTCTTCAACTGGGTAGGTAGTAATGTTGCAGTTAACTGTTTTTATTTCTCCAAAGCGCCCTTTAAATTTATTGGAACATATTGTTAACAATCTTGGATTTTTCCATAACGAGAACTTTAAATGGCCGTTACATTATGTGCGTGTTAGAATAACATTAGATGACGGTCGTGAAAAGAAGACAGTTACATTAATTAATCTATTAAATAGTAAATAAGTTGCGTATCCTTTACAGGACGTTGCAGAACCAACCCCAGCACTTTCTGGTTTTTCTACGCAAATTTACGTCCAGTAGTTTGCCATTGCTTACTGGACGGTCGGCTCTCAGTACCACGGTCGAAACCATCGCTAAACAAACCGTCCGCAGCAAGGATCGAACCCGGCACCCCGACATTACGAAGCGCGTTCGCAACGCCTAAGCCACAGACGCCGACCTTTTAAATAGTATTAGAGAGCAAATACGGTAGTTAATTATTGGGAAAAAATGAAACATTTACGTTAATTAATTATCATAATCATCATCATAAATCAGCAAGTCCTTTACTGAACGTCGCTCTCTTCACGGCACTCCTAGAAGTTTTCATTTCCCTAGCCGGTTTTCCAGCTCCGTGCGTTTTGAATGCCAATGCTTCTTCAATGTCCTGTTTTCATCTTCGCGGAGGTCCACCCCTGCCTCGCCTTCCACAGACTGTACCCCCCATCACCGTCTTTTCCAAGCCACCATGACGTTTGATATCGTAAAATTAATTAATAAATAACAGAGCACGACGCTCCCCTACGGATCGGAAGGTCGTGGGTTCGTGGCCTAACGGAAACGGACTTTTCTCTACTTAAAAAAAAAAGAAGACCTTGACACCCAAGTCGACCCAGCTTTTCTTCTTCGTGTTCCCCAGCTGTAAACTCTGGGGGAAAGTTCTGGTTGTTCATCCACTTCTGGACTGCAGTCCTGTTCCAAACCTGAGTGTTGCGTGTGCATCCGTTTTACAGATCTGACTCATTTGTGTGCAGACTGCTGGTTCCTTGCCTCTCAGGCAGATGCACTCCGACTTCGAAGAAAGCTCCTAATTAGTCGACTCTTACGACATGCTTTTGGGTAGGCAGTGGTTCTATTCTTGTTTTCCCTTAATAGGGCCCCGGAATGCACACAGGGAGACCCAGCTTTAAATGGGTACTAGGTGAAGTCCTAGGAAGTAAAGGCGACTGGTGGGATGCCTATCACATCACCTACCATGTGCCGATTGGTCTGTGAAATATAGGTTTAGCCTTATATGCTCATAATGCTTGAAGGTTGTCGTCTGTGGCTTAGGCGTTGCGAACGCGCTTCGTAATGCCAGGGGGCCAGGTTCGGTCCCTGCTGCCGACGATTTGTCTTACGCTGATTTCGACAGTGGTACCGAGAGCTGACCGTTTAGTGAGCAGTGGCAAACTACTGAACGTAAAATGTGCCTAGAAAAAATAACAACAGCCAATAAATGCTGGGGGTTGGTTCTGCAGCACTAACTTCAGAGCTGAGGCAACTGCCCTCCTTTCTGCAGTCCAACATCTCATCACTCAAGAACACAGAGGGCACCAAATTGTTATACTTAGTGACTCATTGTCTGTTCTCCAAGCACTATCAAGCAAAAAACAAGACAAACTAATTGCAGATGTAAGGACCAACATTGGCTTACTCTCCAAGGAAGCAGAACTGGTCTTGCAGTGGATACCAGCCCACTGTGGTATTCAAGGAAATGAGAGAGCAGATGAGTTGGCAAAAGCTGGGAGTAATCTTCCACAACCTCATCCACCACACAGCTACAAGGAAACCAAAACAGCACTAAAGCAGTCTTTCAAGCGGGAGTGGAGAAAGCAGAATTGCAATAAGTGGTGTTTTATTTTCTCTCGTAGTCTAGGTGGTGTTCATGTGCGTGTGTTGTGAATGTTCTTCTAACACACTCTACGTTACATAACTGGTACAAGCCGACACCGATAAAGCGTACGAGACATAAGTTTATTGGCATATTATCACTCACAGTCGTGTCCAGTTGTTGTCCTAGTAAACAGCTCTCGCACACCAATTCACGCAGCCTTCAACGAGCAGGTTCTTCATGTATTCCCTGACCAGAGTCGGCTCCAATAATTTAAGTTGAGTTTCTTGCCATTACACCGACTTGCTTGGTCGATCTTGGCTTAACACTTTGTCGTCAGGGTCTCCTTTCGCAACAAACACTCTTACGTTGACACTCTTCCACTCAGTCTCACATCCTCTCGCTCCAACAGGTCGACACAAACTAAACTTGATCAGAATCAAGTCTGACTTATACCACGGGTTAGTTTCACGTGGCAACACGTGGTGGTCCTTTACTTTCACTTGGCGACCTTTGGTCGCGTCGTCGTGATACCCGTGATAACTAATGGTCATTACCTATCTCAAGATCCTCGTTTAATCCGAGTATCAGGAATATTTCGGTGTTTTGGGTTAGCTTTGAGCCTTCCCCCCAACCTTCCTAATCTGGATGAAAATATCCCCCATTACAAGAATAGAGATTACAGACCAGAGAGTGACAGCATAAACAAACTCAACAGGAACGAACAAACATCAATTTTTAGACTTCGGACTGCACACTGTGGTCTTCGAGCACACCTGTACAGGATAGGCATAAAAGAATCTGCTGCCTGTGATTGTGGAGCAGAAAGACAGACCCCTGAGCACATACTGCAGTACTGCCCTTACCTCTCCCAGCAAAGACTGTGGATCTGGCCCAGGGGATCCACATTGCGAGAGAAGCTATGGGGGACCGGTGGCGACCTTAAACGCACAATCCTATTTTTGACCCAGACGGGACTCAATGTGTAGCATGACTGATGTCGAACGAAGAAGAAGAAGAAGAAGAAAAAGGTTCTGCAACGTCCTGTAAAGGATACGCAAGTAACTAATAATATACAGTAATTGATTATTGAAAGAATATAAGATGAAAGATAGAGTAATTAATGGATGAAACAATTTTAGATGATAAAAACAGTAATTAATACATGACATAATATTTGCTGACAATTACGTCATCATCATCATCATCATTATCATCATCAATAATTACATAAGTTACAGTTATCATAAAATAAAGAATCTCAGATGGCAGTTTTTATTAATTTATTAATGAACGAACGGGAGAAAATCAGCTTTTATTTTCGAAGGGCACGTAGGCCCGTCCAAGCTTTCTGCCCTTCCACTCCATTTCTTGCATACAGTTAGTCATCCATACATCATTTCATAGGTAATAACAATCATAATCGTAATGATAATAATAATAATATTAATATAAATAAAAGAATTTCAGATGGTAGCTACAGCGATTATTAAATGAAAGAATATGAGATGATGATTGCAGTATTTATTATTAAAAGAATATTAGACCAAAATTACTGAAATTAATAAATTAAAGAACGTATCCGAGGACAATTACAGTAATTAATTAGTGAAAAATTGTTTGATGGCGGTAATCTGGTGACATTTACAGTAGTTATTACAATTAAGGAATATTAGATGACAGTAACAGTAATTGGTCTGTGAAATAAGGTGGTGGTTATTGAAAATAATCCATGAAAGAATTTTTTAGGACAACTGATGTGATTGATTGAACATTGTCCCCATTCAGATTAACACGGTGATCCTAGCTCTTGTCATTCGACTCATGATCAAGTCCAACAACGCTGCACACAAGTTTCAAACTCAAGAACGCAGCAACGTTAGGTTAGTAGTCGATCAAGTCCGTAAATGTTTTGTTCTGAAAATTACCTTTTTTTCTCTCTAATTAAATGTTTTCTTATTTTAATCTTTCATTAAGGCCACTTTCGGCGATAGTCTGATCAAAACTTTGTCCTCGATTGTAAAACTATATCGATGAGCTATCCTGCTCCGACTTTCCACACACGCTTTGTAGATAATGATACAAAGTTGTTGTGTAATGTTATCACAATTGACGTCATTGCACATTGGGCATTCCTCAGCCCTCCGATGCAGCAGCCACTCCAAAGTACTTCTACTAATTGTCCCCATGAGAAGCTGGTTATATTGTCTTCTATTTCGGCCTCGAAGACGGCATAGACGTGCTTCACCATGTTTCACTCATATGTCAAGCAATCGTGTTACTGTCAGGGATTTCTCATTATCCACTAGCCCAGTCCGTACAGCGCTGACGATATCTGCTCTGTCCATGATTCTTTCCACATGCCTTAGTGCAATGCTTGCCAGTTGGTCCGCTCGCTCATTTCCCTTTACGTCCGCATAACCAAGTGTGTAGATCCAGGTGGCGGAGGACAAAGTTTAACAATCCTATTCCATAAGAAATATTTTTACTGACGATTACATGGAGTTAAAAGTCTACTTCTATAGTTTGAGAGGAAGATCGTATTAGATCCTTTTCTTTTATATAGTCAGTAGTCAGACTGCATCTACCAGAGAGGCGAGAAACTAACAGTCTGCATACAAATAAGCTAGATCTGTGAATCAGATAATCATGCAAAACTCACGTTCTTGAACAAGTTTAAAGAGCAGAAGTGGACGATAAAGCAGAACTTTCCCCGGAGCTTACAGTCGGGTTTTGCCAACAACAACAGCAGCAGCAGCAGCAGCAACAACAACAAAAAAGGCGAACAAGAAGAACAAGAACAAGAACTGAGTTTCCTTGATTTGCTCCTGTTTGGTTCTCATCTTTGAGATGTTAATCCTACGGGTAGTAACCCTAGATGGGAACAACCATCCCCACCAATGACAACTTTGTTTATATCTGAACTTGTTTTCCTAGACTTAGCGTCAAGGCAGCTGTAGTATTACTTCCCCTGCTGGGTCTAACATGGATACTGGGGTTTCTCGCCGTCGGCACGGACCAGGTGGAAGCGATGACATACGTGTTTACTTATCTCTTCACCATTACCAACAGCTTTCAGGGGGTGCTGTTCTTCATCTTTCATTGTCTGCTGAATTGTGATGTAAGTGCATACTCTCTCATTGTCTGTTAAATGTTTATGTATTTAACTAACATTCCATTGTCTGCTACGTGTTTTTGTTGAAAGTACATTGTGTGCAAAATTTTCATGTAAGTACATACTTTCTCATTGTCTGCTAAATGTTGATGCTACATGTCTTCTGAATTGTGTTGTAATTACTTACTCTTTCGTTATCTGTTAAATGTTGACAAAAGTATATAATCTTTCATTGTCTGTTTAATGTTGTTGATATACTTGGCGCCACAATAAAGTGCTGAAAGTTAGAGGACTTTGTGGACCAAGCTAGGATGAGGGTTAACGCCAGAACTAGTCCTACCGTCGACCCCATGCGCTTCCTCAAGGCTGGACAGATTTCTAAAGGTAAAGTCAACAAGGTCGCATACGCTCCATCAACTCTTGACTGTACAAGGGACTGGTTACTGGCTGTCGACATGGTTTCGAAAGGTATCCAGAGTTAATCAGGAAAACGCCAGCTCGTCCTGATAGAGCTGACCGTGCTGTACGAGTCGCAGATGGAAGAAAATCATCCGTACAGGCTCGAAAAGTACGGTGAGCTCGTGGCCGGTCTGAGGAGAGACGAAACGTACAGTTAAAATCTTCGCCATCTAGGTAGGCGCAAGAGGATTTATCTCCACTTCCACATACAATGTGCTAAAGCTGGTGGGCTTGCGAGAAAAAGACCGTAAACGGTCACTAAACATTTTGATGATCTTCTATTTTTATTGTTGTGCGTGTCAGTGACTTAGATTTTAGTTAATTCTTTTCTCAATTCAGTCCTTAAAATTTACCCAGGTTCGAATACCGCGGTGGCAGGAAAGCCCATTCTGATGTCTTTCAGACAGTACAGACGGTGAGAAACATATAATTCCATGCTGGCACTGTGGAAGGGATTAGGGACTCCACGTCTTCTTCTTCCGTTCGCTTACAAACAGTGTAATATTCCCCTAATTATTAATAGATGTATACTTGCAACCAATCTTCATTGTGGAGGTTGAACCAGTTTGTTTCTCTTTAAATGACCTTTTAAGTTACCAAATCATCATTATCATCATGTGCCCTGCCAACTGATGCAGGCGTTCATGCGTCTCCACAGATCACGATCCCTGGTTGCCTGGAACAGCTCTCTTGATGACATCCCTCTATGCCATCGTTTCAGCCCATCCAGCATCATCTCTCTTGGTCTGCCTCTACCCCTTTTCTCACTGATCTTTCCAGTTGTCACGATGTTCTTTAATGTCTCTCTTCTCACTATGTGGCCAAAGAACACTTTTTGTCTCTTTCTTATTTTCGTATGTAGAGATCTATTTTCATTAGCTTCTAAGTTACCATGGGATATCTACATGTACTCATTAGGTTCGTCAAGCATTTGAGAGGCGGTACAACAGAAGGAAGAGATCATCTTGTGTGGAAACATCATTATCCAGGCAGAGGAAGTTCTCGGATTTAGAAGGATTTGACAATAACGCTCAACGTGTATACTGTAAGAACGCGGTAATCTACTCACATTTATTTATCATAATTATAATTACGATGAATATTCATTTTATCGCTTATGGATATACGTTTTTATTTCTTCTCATAGTCTCGACCAAAGATAGGTTTTTCTTTCTATAATATTCTTGGTCTACGTCATTATCTACACATTCTACCATTTTGGTGGATGCCTTGTGTCGTATGGCGTCTTTCAACATTGACATGGTCTAAAATATTTTGATCAGTCCCTTTAAATCTAATAATTTTCGTTGTAGCGATAATGAGTCCATTGCCGGCTTGCTAGGCCTGTTGCAAATTTACAAGAGCCCCGTTGGTTAAGACTTTTCGGGGTGATCCAGGATGACCTTTATGGCTACAGTAGCAGCCCCTTGTCACAAGGTCACACATTACTTCTCCCAATCTTAGTAGTCATTTTCATCCGTAACTAACGCGACGGGGAAGTGACTCTGACCTTTGAGAAACATTGTAATTATTATTATTATTCCTCAGACGTCGTGCCGACTGGTGTGGGCGATCACGCCTCTCCCCAATCCGCGATCTCCTGCAGCATGTATCAGTTCGTGTGCTGACTCATCTCAATGCTATGCAACAAGAATGTCAAGAATCTTCTCTTGTTGTCTTCCTCTATCCCTCCTTCCACAGATTTTACCAGTGGTCACAACATGTTATTTTCCCGCTTCTCATAACATGGCCGAAAAATGATGACCGTCTCCTTCTGATGTCTGTGATAAGTTGTCTTCGGGCTTCCGCCTCTCTCAAAACCTTTTGGCTGTTCAAGGTACTTTAAAAATGTTTCTGTAAAACCACATTTCTGAGGCCTCAAGAAATTGTTTGTCCTGCCTACCGTTTGTCCAGGATTCACAGCCACATGTTAAAACTTTACGTATGTAGTAAGCATCAATTCTGTTTCTAACCTCCAATGACACAAATATATTGCATAAGATGTTCTTTATTTTATAAAATAAAGTTTTTGCCTGTCCTATTCTGATGCTATCCATGTGCCCAGATACTTAAATTTCCTCATTTGTCCCAAAATAACAACACTGCGTTTTATTACACATTTAGGAATAATTATTTTCTTTGATGCCACCATTACTTCTGTTTTTCCATTATTCAAACTGAGGCCCATTTTTCCACTTTCTACCACCACAATGTCTATCATTTCCTGTAGTTCTTTCTGACTTGTTGATATGAAGACTGTTTCATCAACAAAACGTAAATTGTTTATATTATGTCCACCAACCACAATTCCGGACCTATTAATTAAAGATCTCATTATATATTCACTTTATAATTAAAAAAAAATTCAGGTGACAATAGAAATCCTTGTCGCACCTAAACAGTTGTTAATTCTTATAGCTGATGTTTGCTGCATATACATATTCCTTTTTATTCGTAGATGTTTTTCATCGTTTAATTTTTCTAATAGTTTGATTAGTTCTTCATGTTTCACACAGTCGAATGCTTTTGTATAGTATTTGAAGCATAAATACAGAAAAAATCTTTACTTCTATAGCTCTTTCTGACAATGTCCTCAAGATGTATATGACATTGTTTGTACCTTTTGCACAAAAGGTACAAACAATGCCGACTTTTCCTTGAGTGGGTACCAGGTGCGGTCGTGGAAAGTAAAGGCGACCGGCGTGATATTGATCACATCACAAGTGCCTATTGGTTCATAAAATATAGATCTAGCTCTATATGCCTACAAAATATACATTGTACGTTTGTATTATTATTAACATTACTATTTATTATTATTACTATTATTATTATTAATATTATTCTTACTATTATTACTATTATTATTATTACTATTATTATTATTATTATTATTATTATTATTATTATTATTATTATTATTATTACTATTAATTATTACTATTTATCATCACCATCATTACTAGTATCCTTTACTTCCCTTCCTTGCCCTTCTTATCCTCATTTTCTTCTCATTTTTCTTGTCTCCCTCCTCTTCTCCTGCTGTACGTTCACAGTATTCTTATTCTCTTCTTTCTCAGTCTCCCCCCCCCCTTCCCCCGCCCCCATTATTACTATACTTTCCCTTTCCTTTACATCTTTCTGTTCTAAAACGGGCTATAATGAAAGCGACGTTCTGTAAAGGACCTGCTACATGATGATAATGCTGAAATACTTTACAAAACATGACAAATTATGGAGTTTTTATGTCAGAGTGAAATTATCTTAAACATCCTAACCTGCACAGTCCGTGGCGACAGCCCTAGCCATGCGGCCCTGAATCCACAATCTCACGAACCCCTGTCTACACCGCTCACAGAAGTGGTTTAAAAACAAATGGTAGTGACAAAAACAGTTTTGCCCTCACTTTCTAAACTGTCGACGGTCATATCTTGTCGAAATCAATTTAGAAAAAGACTGCAGCCAATGTCGGCTCTGTAGCTAATTAAGTCTATGCCAAAACTTCGTAATGCCGGAGTGCCGGGTTTGATCCCAGCTGCGGGCCATGCGCCTTGCGTTGGTTTCGACAGTGGTATCAAGAAGCCGACCGTCTAGGAAGCAATGGAAAACTACTGGACGTAAATTTGCCTAGATAAAGCACACAACAGCCAGGAGCAGCTAGTGTTGGTTCTGCAACGTCCGGTAAAGGATACGCAACTAACCTGCTACCAAATATCCTTCAGCTGGATTGAACCCAGTATGTCGGAATAATGAACATACTATATTTTCCCTAAGTTTCAGACGAAGCTGCAAGATACAGTAACATTCTTATTCCTATTCACAGAGCACACTGTTTTCCATTCTGAACAGTCTATCACCGATTGCTCTCACTGTGACCATACCTGGTCATATCCATGGTCCAGCAGTTGGCACGAAATCCTTGGACAAGAGCTAGCCATCGATCCACTATGGCCATGTAAGACACTACTGCTTATTAATTAAATCGCTGTGTGTTAAGGTTTAAGAAAAATGTTTTTTCATCCTGTGTAGAGCCGGATGTAACTCGGAATCCTGCACAGTTCAGTCACCAGTCAGTCAGTCAGTTAGTTGGGTTATCATCATTGTACTCCGGATATGTCAGTTAGTCATCATCTTCACCAACATCCAGCGATGCTTTTATAGGTCACATAAGGCTAACATATACTCTGCGATTTCGTTGTAACCAGTATCATTGTTTTAATATTATGGATGGAATTCAGCCCAACACATTCGAACTCTCTGGAAAATTAGTAAAGATAAAACATTCTTTGGGATCTCATGAATATTTTATAGGCTTAGCAAATCGGAGGACATCTCATGCATTAATGTATGTCTTTGGAGGTTAGTCACCCTGAAAATAACTAATTTTAACATACAGCTGTGAATAATGGAGAGGTGGTAAACAGTTCATATAATTTCGTGAGGCATCGTGGATGTGGTTTCATAAAAATATGTGTAAGATTGATCTAACGGCGAAAATGAATAATCTAGATGTTTTAGATGAGGCTTGCATTTGAAGATGTCGTGTCAGAAGCCTTCAGAAAATAACCACACACTTTATTTCACACAAACTGTTGGTACAAAATCATTAACATTTAATTATAATAATCATTATATTATCAGAAAGAGGGCGCTAAAAAGTTACAAAGAACCTGTTCTGCTGTATGGCAGCGAATCTTGGCATGTCACTGAAAAAGTAAAGAAGAATTTGGAAGCAACAGAGATGTGGTTTCTGAGATGAATTTTACGAATACCTTGGACGGCCAGAGTAACTAATAACGATTGTTTGAAAGAGGCTAATGAAAGTAGATATCTCCATATAACAATAAGAAAGAGACAAACACTGCTCTTTGGCCACATAGGGAGAAGAGAGACATTGGAGAACATTGTGACAACTGGAAAGATCAGTGGAAAAAAAGGGGAAAGAGGCAGACCAAGAGAGATGATGCTGGGTGGGCTAAAACGATGGCATGAAGGGATATAATCAAGAGTGCTGTTCCAGTCAATTAGGGATCGTGATCTGTGGAGACGCATGAGCGCCTACGCCAGTTGGCAAGGCACATGAGGATGATGATGATGAATGATTATGTCCTTTATTTGTCCTACATTTACGTTCAGTTTTTTTGTCACCTTATGACGATGAAAAACAAGTGCATGAACGGCTTGCCTGTTTTTTTTTTTTTTTTTTTTGTAAAGGGTTTTCCTATTCACATTTCTTTACTTCTTTACATCATTAAAAAAAAGTTCATCTTTCTTTTTTCGAAGCTTTAACTTTCTAAACCAAGCGACCAACTGTGCTCCTATTGACTGCACGACATCCATACACACGTGCATAAATGTTCGTCAGTTTATTTTTCCGCAACCATAAATTCTGTAATAATTCATTGTCTTCGCTTACAATTTGTAATGCTGGGTACAGCTGTTCTATTTGTTGGAATGCGATGACGTTTGGTATATGCAATACACGCGTGTACAATTAAAGAACAAAAGAAGGATGAAACAAATGAAGAAGGGCGGGGAAAGGAAGAAGTGAAGGACGAAAGAAAGACGAACGAAGAGGAAAGAAGAAAAAGATAAAATATCCTATGATGCGTTGTTTTTTTTTTTTTTAGATTTTTAAAACCTAATATATAATCAGCAATACATTATTTCTCATCAGGTTGTTTGTTTATATGATGTTTAAATACTTGTTGATCGACTTCATTGTGGCGGGTATTATTCTGACTATCCATAGAGAGCTGCCCAATCTCCCCCCCCCCCCCCAATCCTCTTTATCTTGTTCTTGATCTTCTGTGATATTTCGATCCCCTTCTTCACTGGCACATAAAGATTCCATCTTGGCAACTCATTTGTAGTCATTTACACTTCACAGTTTCTCATACACCCCAACAGGCGGACAGACTGGCTGGCTGTCTCTGCACAACTGATGCATGAATACTGATGCATGATTAGTCAGACTTGGTTGGTGCCTTATGGGAGACCGTGTACAGTTCGGAGGAGCAGATGGATCACCACAGACT